GACACAATTTTTAGATTTGGAAATTAACGCAGCATTCCCCTGGCTGAGGAGTGACATTTCTGAAATTCATTCCCCTCATACCCCCCAACCAGTCATTGTTTAAGGAAATTTGAGTTTTTTGCTGGTGTATGCATGCAACTAGTACTAGTACTAACTTAGCTTCTTAGAAAAGGGCCTTGAACAGGACTGTTCTGTGCTCTCTGCCTGTGCCCAAGCCTTTCAGCTGATTGTGAATTTCAAAGCTTTGCTCTAGCCAGGATTTATTTATAATAACATGAGTATGGCAGGTTCTTGCTTAAGTCCTGGTACACAAGAAAAACTTGTCTTTGCCCCTTTGCAATTCTGGGAGTGGAGTTTCAGTTTTCTGAAGTATTAATTTCTTATCTTGTACTCTGGAGATGAGGGGGAGGGTGAAACTTCTTATCTTTGATTTTGCCTATTTATTTTCTAATATGCGGTTTCAGTTCATTTGTTTTAAAATGTGATACAACTCCAAACTGTTTTTTTTAAAGAATGACAGTTTTGTACTGTTTGCAAAATGATAGACATTTTTGAAGTTGTCTTTTCAGCATATGCAGTTCTTGAAGTCTTGTTCTTAAAAGTGACCTACTTTACAATACTCAGTATGCAGTTTTGCATTCTTTAGGGATGGAATGATCTGTTTTTGTCATATTCTTAAAACATTCTGAGACTCGCTATGGCTCCTTTCCCTTCTCCTTGCATTGAAATCTTTTTGAAACTTATGCTTTCATAACTTAGACTTGTGGGTACATCATAGCACAATGAAAATAGCCCCTAAGCTGTCCTCTTCCACCTTCCAGTTTGGTGATCCTGGCAGACCATTGTTATTTTTGAATCTGTTTAGCTACATGGTTTAGGGTTAAGATTCTGTATTTATTAGCTGTGTACCTTTAGCACAATACCTTTCTTGAGTTCCTTATATCTAAAATAGGGACAAGTGGATTGTTCGTATTTAAAGACAGAATGCATATTTATGACAGCCATAACAGCCCTTTTTAAGTATTAACGCAGTCCTAATATTTTTCTGTATATTGTCTGATTTGACAGTTTCACCAAGTTGTAATAAAGCTCATGGGTGGGGAAGGATGTAAATGTAGTATGTAAATGTAAATGGATGTACAGATGTGATGGAGAAGTTTGTAAACAGATGGTGAGCAGTCAGTTTGCACAACTGGTGTTTAGGTACTAAGTTACCTGTATTAATCACTTTTCACTGTTGAGAGGAAAAAAATCTATCATGTATACATTTTATAATAATCTTAAAATCAAATGATTTCCCTTTTAAATTTGTTCTACTAGTAGCTTCCGTTTAGTTCCTGGGATACAAGAATTTAAATGAACACTGACCCTGCATTCCGTAGTTTATGACGAAGCTTACCATCACCCTGCGGAGTCTGTCAGGTTTAAGGCTCACAGCTGGTTAATGCGGCTCTGAAGGAAAGGAAAGAGTTTTCGATTATTAAATGAGGATGATATTTTTAGATGTCTCCAAAATCCCAGATTGGTCCATCTACTCTTGACCTCATTCCACAGTCCAGTATCCCCAGGGTATTTTTGCTGTTGTTCCAAACTCAGCGTGTCTGGAGCTAAGGTCACGGTCCTGCTTTTGGCGCGGATGCTTCCTCTGGTTTCCCTTCCTCTGTCCACTGATGTGCCTCTTTCCCTGATCATCACTGGGTGCCGTCTGGCCCCTTCTCTCTGCTTTGTGCCTGGGCCCTCAGGGTTTGTCCCTGTCCTTCCCTTCCTGTTGGTGTCGCTGCCCTGCCTCCTTCCCACGTCATTTCCTAGTCTCTGCAGCCTTCTGTCTCTGATTTTTATCACCATCAGTATTGAATACTAGATTAACTGTCCCCAGACATCAGTCATAATGGGTCACTTTCCTCCTGTACAACTGTCGGCAGTTCCTTGTTCAGTTCAGTCACTCAGTCGTGTCTGACTCTCTGCGACCCCATAGACTGCAGCACGCTAGGCCACCCTGTCCATCACCAGCTCCCAGAGTTTACTCAAACTCATGTCCATTGAGTCAGTGATGCCATCCAACCATCTCATCTTGTCATCCCTTTCTCCTCCCGCCTTCGATTTTTCCCAGCATCATGGTCTTTTCCAATGAGTCAGTTCTTTGCATCAGGAGGCCAAAGTATTTGAGTTTCAGCTTCAGCATCAGTCCTTCCAATGAATATTCAAGACTGATTTCCTTTAGGACGGACTGGTTGGATCTCCTTGCAGTCCAAGGGACTGCAAGTCCAAGAAGTCTCAAGAAGTCCAAGTCTCAAGAGTCTTTTCCAACACCACAGTTCAAAAGCATCAATTCTTTGGCACTCAACTTTCTCTATAGTCCAATTCTCACATCCATACATGACTACTGGAAAAACTATAGCTTTGACTAGACGGACCTTTGTTGGCAAAGTAATGTCTCTGCATTTTAACGTGCTGTCTAGGTTAGTCATAACTTTCCTTCCAAGGAGCAAGCATCTTTTAATTTCATGGAATTTCATGGCTGCAGTCACCATCTGTAGTGATTTTGGAGCCCAAAAAAGTAAAGTCTGACACTGTTTCTACTGTTTCTCCATCTATTTGCCATGAAGTGATGGGACCAGATGCCGCAATCTTAGTTTACTGAATGTTGAGTTTTAAGCCAACTATTTCATTCTCCTCTTTCACTTTCATCAAGAGGCTCTTTAGTTCTTCTTCACTTTCTGCCATAAGGGTGGTGTCATCTGCATATCTGAGGTTATTGATATTTCTCCTGGCAATCTTGATTCCAGCTTGTGCTTCATCCAGCCCAGCATTTCTCATGATGTACTCTGCATATAAATTAAATAAGCAGGGTGACAATATACAGCCTTGACGTACTCCTTTTCCTATTTGGAAACAGTTTGTTGTTCTATGTGCAGTTCTAACTGTTGCTTCCTGACTTGCATACAGATTTCTCAAGAGGCAGGTCAGGTGATTTGGTATTTCCCATCTCTTTAAGAATTTTCCTCAGTTTGTTATGATCCACACAGTCAGAGGCTTTGGCATATTCAATAAAGCAGAAAAAGATGTTTTTCTGGAACTCTCTGGCTTTTTCGATGATCCAGCGGATGTTGGCAATTTGATCTCTGGTTCCTCTGCCTTTTCTAAAACCAGCTTGAACATCTGGAAGTTCTCGGTTCACGTATTGTTGAAGCCTGGCGTGGAGAATTTGGAGCATTACTAACGTGTGAGATGAGTGCAATTGTGTGTTAGTTTGAGCATTCTTTGGCATTGCCTTTCTTTGGGATTGGAATGAAAACTGACCTTTTCCAGTCCTGTGGCCACTGCTGAGTTTTCCAAATTCGCTGGCATGTTGAGTGCTGCACTTTCACAGAATCGTCTTTCAGGATTTGAAATAGCTCAACTGGAATTCCATCACCTCCACTAGATTTGTTCGTAATGATGCTTCCTAAGGCCCACTTGACTTCACATTCCAGGATGTCTGGCTCTAGGTGAGTGATCACACCGTCATGATTATCTGGGTCATGGAGATCTTTTCTGTACAGTTCCTCTGTGTATTCTTGCCACCTCTTCTTAATATCTTCTGCTTCTGTTAGGTCCATACCATTTCTGTCCTCCTGCCGAAACCCTTTATCCACCTGAGCTGTTGGGTCTACTCTCTTCCTCTTTTCTCTGTCCCCTCCTGTTTAGAGACCCTCTTTACCCCCTCTGATTGCAATTTCTGCTTGCTCTTCCCCTCTTGTTTTTCTGGATGCAGTTGGGTCAGCCTACCATGGTGCTTACAGCTTTGAACTTGAAGCACACACTTGGTTTCTTTCATTTTGTGCTGGGTCGTTTGTTGCTTACTGTTGACTCCAGTTTCCAAATTGACAAACTTGACTTGTCTAGACTATTTGTAGATTATTAAGTCCTTGGGTATTGGGATTATTTCTAAATCCTTGAATTCCCCAGAACCCATACTGGTATATAAAAATGTGCAGTAATTATAATACTATTATTTGATGAAAATATTTTTCTAAATGATTGGACTTCAAAAGCTTTAAGGTAAAATTGCTACAGAGTATATAAATATTTGTGAATATGCTCTTTGGACTTCTGTTCGTGCTGTGACATCTGAGCTTACACTAAAGCTGCCTCTTGAGGAAGCTCCTGAAATTGGCGGTGGGTGGCTGTGAACCCTGGCTCTCTGGAGAAGGCAGATGAGGCCTGGCTGGCAGCTGCCTGGGTTCTGTGACTGGGGCTCCACATGGGCCTCCTGCTCAGATGCCTGCCTTTCCTCAGGGGTCCGATGCTCATTCTTGCCGGGCCTTCTTCCTGGGGCATGGCCTGGCCTCCAGAGAGATGCTCAGAGACTGGTCCCATTGCTCAGCTGCCTGTCTGTCTCCCTAGAACAGATCAGTCCAGCTCCCAGGAGGGTTTCGGTGGGGTCGGACGGAGGTGGTCAGTGGGTTGGTGTAGTAACCGGGTTTTCTGGTGTTTGGGATGTTTGAGGGTGGTTCTTCCTGAGCCTCAGCTCTAACTGCCCCTCAGCAGGCCAAGCAGGGCGGGAGAGGCAAGGGGACAGTGGGCGGTGGGCAGACGATGTTACACTCTCAGGGGTCGAGGCCTGGGTCCCCGAAACGGCTGTCACACCGCCTTTCCTGGTTAGCCGCTTGAATGAGAGGGGACTCACTGAGACGGGGTTTTCGGACTCTGCGCTCATCCTGCGTGTCCCAGTGTGCATGTGGGCGTGCTCTCCCCCGAGTCACTGGGCTCAGCAGGCGTGTCTCCATGATGCTTGGCAGTGGCTTTTCGTCATGCGCTCCGACAGCATCTTCCGTGGAGGAAAGTTCTCTCTCTTTCTCATTCCAGGTTGTCTGCCGTGGTCAAATAAGCCATCTTTTCGGTTGAAGGGTTATTGTTGTTTCTAAAGGAAATCTTTTAGGACATAAATGATACTGTTAAATAAGCTGTGTTTCTTTTATGCAAATCTTGTGAGAACATCTCCCCCTTAATCTTTGTAGAGAATGTGCCAGAGGAGCTCCGAGAGCCATTCTACACGGACCAGTATGACCAGGAGCACATCAAGCCGCCTGTGGTCGGCCTGCTGCTCTCCGCCGAGCTGTACTGCCGCGCCGGCAGCCTCATCCTCAGGAGCGACGCCGCGAAGCCCCTGTTGGGTCACGACGCCGTCATCCAGGCCTTAGCTCAGAAGGGCCTCTATGTCACCGACCAAGAAAAGCTGGTGACAGAGCGGGACCTCCACAAGAAGCCCATCCAGATGGTGAGTCTTCTGTGCCCACAATGATGGTGTTTGACGTGCGTGCTTTTTTTTTCTTTCATTTTTTTATTAGTTGGAGGCTAATTACTTTACAATATTGTAGTGGTTTTTGCCATACATTGACATGAATCAGCCATGGATTTACATGTGTTCCCCATCCTGAACCCCCCTCCCACCTCCCTCCCCATCCCATCCCTCTGGGTCATCCCAGTACACCAGCCCTGAGCACTTGTCTCATGCATCATGGACTGGCGATCTGTTTCACACTTGGTAGTATATATGTTTCAATGCTGTGTGTGCTTCTGAGCGCAAATTGTGTTACACAGCTGAGGGAGCTAGGTTTTACACTTGCACTGCCATCTCTGCCTGGAGTTTAAAAATTATCTTTTCCTCATAAACCTCATTTTCAAATGGAATTTTTTTTTTTTTGAAGAATTGAAGTATGATTGATTTACAGTGTTGTAGTTCAGGTGTGTAGCAAAGTGATCCAATTAAGGAAGAGGTTAATGAACTATTTTGTAATATTTGGTGCCATTCTAATACCTGGGAGAAGCAATCACATAATTTCCAACTAAAGTGATTTTTCTTTTCCCCCCAATTTAAAAGCTTACTTTTTTCCATCCCAGAGACTCTAAGAGATGTAAAGGGCATCCTTGTCTTCTCCTTAGGAAAGAGGTGGGAGTTACGAGTGTTCGTCTGTATGCTTGAATGACCTCTTGGCAGATTTCTGTGTGCTCGGTATTTGAGTTTATTTAATAACTGTGAACGCATTCTTGTGGAGAACACGCAGTGCAGGGCTGTGTGCTGGCCTGGGCCGAGCAGGCAGGCCCTTCCTCCCCGGAGCTCCAGGGACACGCAAGTGCTGGGGTTTGCTGTGTCCTGCGTCAGTCTGTGGTACCGCTTAAACTCGAGTTTACAGAATCCTGAGTGTCGAGAATGGCATTAGAACAGTGACTCATTCGCACATTGGATTAGATCAGGCTCTCGTATGAGACTGGTTGTCTTCCTTGGAGGAGAGGAGAGAGGTATATGTAGGAGACTATGAAGTTATGAGATTGCAGAAGGATGAGTGAAAATTAGTTTACCAAATATAGCACTAGAAGAGGTGATTGACCTACCTTTGCTTTCTGCCTGTTTTCTCTTTAAAACAACCTATTATTACCTTCAAGAAATGTAGAATAACGTCTCGAGAAAATTTTAGTTAATTTAGTAATAGATTTATTAAACTGCAGAATCATTGAGGAAAACAAAGAATGTTCCTTGTCAGATAGGAGATCTTGACCTCCTGCTGACAGCTGCAGGTTCACCTCACAGTTCCCTCTGAGGTTTGCACACCTGCGTGGTGCCCGTGAGCAGCTTGCAGGTCCCAGGACTGAGCAGAACTCTGCTCAGGGGGCCCCGCGATAGCTCACCGTCCGCTCTCTAGAGTGGCTGCACTCGGTGGACACTCCTGCTCTGACTGCTTTTGCTTCCACAGCTCATGCCAAGGGGATGGTTACAGAGCATGTCCATGATGCTGAGTCTGCATCTGTGTTTGCCCAGTACCAATTCTTTCAGGTACCAGTGGTACACGTCACACTGCCTGCTCATCCTTAGAGAAGGTTATCTACTTTACATCCTCTCTAATAAGAATGAAACAGACTTAGCACACTGTCTTCATTATTTTTCCTAGTGCAGCTTGTGTGTGTGAAGATACAGGTTTGGTAGACTACTCTTTGCATTCCCATCAGTTTACTTTCACTCTGTATTGATCTTGCTATTAAATCTGACTGCAGGAATTGAGGGCTTCCCTGATAGCTCAGTTGGTAAAGAATCCGCCTGCATTGCAGGAGACGCCAGTTTGATTCCTGGGTCAGGAAGGTCCGCTGGAGAAGGGATAGGCTGCCCACTCCAGTATTCTTGGGATTCTCTTGTGGCTCAGCTGGTAAAGAACCCACCTGCAATGCCGGAGACCTGGGATTGGCCCCTGGAGAAGGGAAAGGCTGCACAGTCCAGTATTCTGGCCTGGACAGTCCCATGGACTGTATAGTCCACGGGGTCAGAAAGAGTCGAGCACGCCTGAGCAGCGTTCACTTCAGTCTCACTCTCCAGGAGCTGAGGTCTGAGGAGCGTGCTGTAGAGGGTGTGGCCGCTGCCTCTCTGGGTCTGGCTTCTGAGTGTGGGCCTCAGACGCTCATTCTGGACTCCATCATTTTCCCCTCGCTGTGTCACACCTGCTGCTCTCTGTTTTACTTGTGTGCTTTCAGGTTTTCTTACAGCTGGGTTTAAGGCTTTCCAGTTGCTGTGAAGTTTTGATTGATGACGTTATACTATCACTATTTTTCTAAGACCTGTGTGAGAAAATTTCTCAAGAGTACTAGTAAAAAGTTTGTTCTTAAGAAATCATGCTTTTTGGTTTTAGAGTAATAAGAATCAGTATCCTTCCTTGTCCTGCATTTTGAGAAGTGTAGTGAAAAATAGTATGTTTAATTGCACTAGATACACTGACCCCCACCGCACCTCCCACTTCTAAATTCTCTTGGTTTGGAGTCTTTTATTTCTATATGCCACCTCTCAGCCTCTTGGGAAAAAATATGTAGTGGTAGCAGAAATGTCATTACAAGTATGAGGCAGGTTTGACTAAACAGATATTATGTTTGGGGGTGGGTGGGGTTTGAAAGAAATGCCTCTTTTTTTTTTTAAAGAAAAAGTGAGAACACCTGTTGGAGAATATATCCTTTCCATTAGAGTGCACTTAAAGACAGATTTTGAGAGTATACCCTTTAAAATATGTTCCTTTATATTTATCTCAATGGAAAAGTATTTTCAGGAATCGTGTATTTGAATAGCTCGGATGTATATTGGCTGTTCTTCAGCACAGACTTGTAACCTGTAAGGTGGGCGGAGGGGCTGAACCTGTGACACAGCGTGCTTGTTACACGTCCACGAGTGGAGCCCAGATGGAACGTGTGCACTGTCGCCCGGCGGAAGCGCAGGCTCCGAGACCTACCGTCAGTGCTCCAGTCGGCGTTAAACCTATGGCGACTTGTGTGCCCTGGAACCACAGCATGTCCTAACCTGAAGCAGGCCGTCTGTCGGATTGTCTGTCCGCACAGGTGCTAGTGCGTAGGAGGACTCGGAGGTTGAGGGACTTGAAGCCAGTGGAGCCAGATGGGGCTTGTAGCCTTTGAACTTTCCTCTGCAGCAAAATGAAGTTGCATGTGTCCTGCGTTTGCTCTCATCGGGTTGGGCTGGTGGGTTTGATCCGTGTCATAAAATCTTAAATTCTATGAATTTCATAGCTGGAAAGAGCCTTAGAGATCAGAGCTGAGCTGTGTGCAGTAGAAAACTTGCCAGTCCGGAGCAGCCTGGGGAACACAGTCCAGGGGACTTTGAACGCAGACTCTCCGGCGCTCCAGGTAGAGCTGCTAGCATGGGGCCTTAGAAGAGGGTCGAGTCACCTCGAGGCATGCAGGATCCCCAACCAGGGATCGAACTCATGTCCCTTGCAGTGGAAGCATGGAGTCTTAACCTCTGGACCACCTGGGAAGTCCCTGGGACATGTATTTTTAAACAAGTGTTCAGAGTGACTTCTGTGATCAAGAATGTGATCTGAGAAATTTGATCTACTCCAGAGTCATTTCAAATATGTAATACTTAGAATTTAGAGGTTAACCAGTTTGGCTAGGGTAGAAGCATTGTTATTTAGTAGCATGACTAGAATTAGAATCTGAATGAGCTAAAACTGACTTTCTAATTTATAATGCTGTAATCTAAAGCAAATTTGAGCACTTAAATATTTGGATTCATGCTATGTAAACTGTAGACTGGTTATGAATCAAACTGTTGGTTGTAAATAAGCTTTCCAGTCATGTTTATATATATATATGAAAAAGAGTTGATATTCATAAAGCTCTATTAAAGTAAATGTATATGTATGTAGTATGTGTGATATGAAATAATGAGATTGATTTTCATGTTTGATTTACAAAATAACCTTTATTACTTAATCAGATCTTGTTTTGAAGCAGTCATATAAAGAAAAATTTTATTTTGAAGTGCTTTCTTTTAATGAGTACCAGAAAGAGATTTAGTACTCTGTTTGCTTAATGGGAACTAAAGTGTGCTGATAGATCATTTGATAAGGAAGGCATGAAATGTTCTCTCAGTAAACTGTCAGCATTGTCATAATGGATGTTTTGGGTAGTCACACAATATAAACTAAAAAGTTATACTGCATCTCTGGTTCTATCCATGAGGGCTTCCCTGGTGGCTCAGATGATAAAAGAATCCACTGCAGTGTAGACCAGGGTTCGTTCCCTGGGTCGGAAAGATCCCCTGGAGGAGGGAATGGCAACCCACTCCAGTATTCTTGTCTGGAGAATCCCATGGACAGAGGAGCCTGGTGGGTTACAGTCCATGGGATTCACAGGCAGACACGACTGAGCGACACACACACACACACACACACACACACACACACTCACACACACACTCACACACACACTCACACTGTCCATTACCCTGCCTTGATGTAGTGTAAAACCAGTGAAGCTGTGTTTAAAACAGAGGGATGATGGAAACATCTGTTTACCCTCAGGAAGCATATTACTGCAAGTAAAGGAGTTTTACTTTATCGTGTTTTGTCATCCACATTCTCCTGACCACGAATGCCTGCACTTGGATGATGTGGACCTTAGAATCCAGAGAGAGAGAAGACTGGGAAAATGCTCGTTAGCATGAAATAGGTGCTCCCTGTGGGAGTGTAAGCCGTAGCGTTGGGATCATACAGGCAGGTGTGGTGATTGCTGCCGGCCGGTGAGGAAAGGCGCTGGGGATGAGTGATTCACAGGGCTTCCGTGGGTGGGAAAGGATCGGTGGGAGGCGGCAGGCTGAAGAAGTTCCTGACCCAGTTTGGGCTGTGCAGGCATGCTGTGCGTCACCAGTGACATCGCCGCCTGCACAGGGGCACCCGTGTGAGATGAGCCTGCAGAATTGGCCGGCTTCCTAGACTGTGAAGGGGC